GCAATTTAGCAAGATCCTATCTCAAAAAAAAAAAAAAAGCTGTGATGTAGCTCAGTGGTAGTGCACCCCTGGGGTTAATCCCCAGTACCAAAAGAAGAAAAAGAAAAAAATAAGAGAAATAGAAATTGCTGCCCAACACTGTTTTTGAGCTCTCCACACTTTGATGCATAGCTGTATCTGATGGGAAATAGGGCTAGAAATAGGACTGTCTCTGGAAATAGGGCTGTTCAGCCATATGCATGGAAATTTCAGATTTCTGTCTTTCTCTTGCCTGTCTTCTTCTTCTTCCTCCTTCACCTTCTAGGGAAACAGCTTTTCCTAAGAGTAGGTAGCTGTTTATTGCTATTTTAATGCATCCTTTTCTTGGTATGGGGGCACCTAGGAACAAATGCCAGAGAAGTGCCTCCACTGCAAGGGGAATAACAAGCACATTCCTTAAGACTGTCCTATGTGCTAAAGGAGACACAAACTCAGTACTAACACACTACATGGAAGAAAAGGAAGTGGTGCAGTGGCACACACCTGTAATACCAGGGACTCAGGAGGCTGAGGCAAGAGGATCAAAAGTTTAAGGTTAACCTTGGCAAATTAGTGAGACCAGGTCTCAAAAAATAAAAAAGGACTGGGGATGTAGCTCAGCATACAATTCTCCTGGGTTCAATTCTCAGTACCACAAAAATAATAAATAATTTAAAAATATATTTTATTAGTTGTTGGTGGACCTTTATTTTTATGTGGTGCTTAGAATTGAACCCATGCTAGGCAAATGCTCTACCACTGAGCCACAACCCCCAAATAAACAATTTTTAAAAATAAGCAAAACAATGGCTCAAGTGGTAATGCATTTGCCTGGCATGTGCGGGGTGCTGGGTTTGATCCTCAGCACCACATAGAAATGGAATAAAGATGTTGTGTCCACGAAAAATGAAAAATAAATATTAAAAAATTCTCTCTTCTCTCTCTCTTTTAAAAAAAAAATAAACAGGGGCTGGGATGTGGCTCAAGCGGTAGCGCGCTCGCCTGGCATGCGTGCGGCCCGGGTTCGATCCTCAGCACCACATACAAACAAAGATGTTGTGTCCGCCAAATACTAAAAAATAAATATTCAAAAAATTCTCTCTCTCTACCTCTATCTCTCACTCTCTCTTTAAAAAAAATATAAATAAATAAACAAAACAAAAGGGCCCTCTGCAAAACCGTCCTTTCATTTTTCTTCAGAGGGCTTGGGACATCCATTTCCCAGTAACACTTATTTTTGGTAGCCACACAATGCACATGCATGTCATGGATATGTAATATGTAGCATGATACACTAATAACATTTCATCTGATAATACCAGTAATATGTAGTCAAATCCAGACTTACAAAGCAGTTAAGTACCTTCAGAATCTTTACTGTTCAATGATCCTGGGTTCAATCACCAGCATCATCAATAATAGCTATTATTATTATTATTTTATTGTTGTTTAATGAGCAATTTAATATGTAATGGTTAGAGAATGGTGAAGTAAATCATGGTAGAGTCACTTGTAACAAAATAGAAACCAGTAAAAATGAGGTTTTATGTGAAAAAGTTTTTTAGCTAATAATGTGAAAAAAGGTTACGATTATGTCAAACACAGACTTATATGCAAAAAAAAAAAAAAGAAGAAATGCTAAGAGAGAATTTTCCAAAAAGGGGGGTGGATGGGGAGAGAGAGAAAGAGAGAACCACAATTCTCTCATACAGATTTTTAAAAATGAATGTGTGTTAGGGCTGGGGATATGGCTCAAGCGGTAGCGCGCTCACCTGGCATGCGTGCGGCCTGGGTTCCATCCTCAGCACCACATACAAACAAAGATGTGACCGCTGAAAACTGAAAAATAAATATTAAAAATTCTCTCTTAAAAAATTTTTAAAAAATGAATGTGTGTTAGATATTTTATTTGACACATTCAAATGAGGAAAGCATTCAGATGGTTAGATGGTTCCAAAAAGAAGTCAAGAAGCACAAAATTTGAGAAAAAGAATATTGAAAGGAATTGCAAATGGAGGCAAAATTTTTTTTTTTCCCCAGAAGGGAAAGAAGACAATTAAGTTTCTATCAGACCAGACAGAATTTACTTCTCTATTAATTATCTCCAATTTACAGAGTTATAAAATAACCCTCATAGAATCAACTGGAATCAACTAATTCAAGGAAGGCCGTCATATAGACTAATTTTCTCAGTTTTAGCAGGAATCTTGACTAATAAAGTCAAGGGACTTAAAATATTGGTGAGATTATGGAGTTTTTTTATACCAGTTTATTATTTGGTATAATTTTTGAAAAAACAAAACAATGCCAATTTGTAAAAGGGACCATTGCAAAGTGCCTTTAAATGTTAGCACTTTGGGCTGGGAAAAGTCAGTAAATATTAGCAATTTCTGAAATGTTTAATAGGTGATTTGGGTTGCCCACATATTTTAGAGACAAGTGGTTAATGTGAGGTACACCTGGACCCTGTTTTTCCTGAAGTTTATAAAACACTATACTTGACCTGCATATAGTAAAAGTTCTGTCATATCTCAGCCTAGTAGTCCTCTTCTTTCTCAAATTTAGGCACTGAAACAATCTGCACTTTGGAAAGATTAGGTGGTTACAGAGACAACAAGATTCAAGGAGGAAATCCCTTTCACCCTCTTTTTACATGCAATTGAAAGTTCAAATGCCAATGTCATTGCCCCTCCACAGGGCTGGGCAGGGCTCATGCTGCAAGTAAAGATGCAAGTAGAAGTTGCTGCTTGGGCACTTTCTTCTCCACTTGCTTCCTGCTCTTTCTCCTTCCCAGGATCCATGCCTGTGTCACCAGATACTGCAGAGGACACTAGTCCACAGCTATTTCAATTTGTTCTAAGAAAATTCAGTTCCTCAGTCTCATTAGCCACATTTCAAATGCTCAATAGCCACATATGAATAGTGGCTACTGGATCTGGTAGTGCAGATATCAAACATTTCCATTGCAGCAGAGAATTCTCCCAGACAGCACTGCTGTGCATAACCACTCATTCCCTTTGTCTTTACTTTAATTTTCTCTCATCCATCCCTTTTTCTGCTTGCCAAGCTTCTTCTTCAAGTAAATCCATTGTCAAATCTTCTAACAAAGACTCTCTCTTCCATCAAGTTTTAGCTAGGCTCCTCTAAGCCCTCTTCGCAATTTGGCCTTGACTGTTTTCCTTGTCTGTTTTTTTTTTTTTTTTTAAATATTTTTTAGGTCTAGATGGACACAACACAATGTCTTTATTTTTATGTGGTGCTGAGGATCGAACCCGGTCCCGCCCATGCTAGGCGAGTGCTCTACCTCTGAGCCACAATCCCAGCCCCTCCTCCTTGTCTGTTCTTGGGAGTTCAGTTTTAGCAGGAATCTTAAGGTAGTTAAAGAGAACCCCTTACACTTGATATCTGATTATTCTCAATATCTGATGAAATTCTTCCTCTTCTACTCTCAATATCATTCTCTGGCCTGGCCTCCCTTCAGCAAGAATCCTATTGTTAGTTTAGTAAGAATTTCCCTATTCTTTCTGTTTGTTTGTTATATTGGGGGTTGAACCCAGGGGTGCTTTACCACCAAGCTACATCCCCAGCCCTTTTCATTTTTTTATTTTGAGACAAGGTTTGGCTAAATTGCTAAAGCTGGCCTTGAACTTGCAATCCTCTTGCTTCAGCTTCTCAAATTGCTGGGATTACAGAGTGCACACCACAGCTTCCCTACTCTTGATGTCTCCCCTTGGTAATTTTGTGAGTGTGTGTGTGCTGGGATGGAACCCAGGGCCTCACATATTCTAGGCTAGTGTTGGTCACTGATCTACACTCCCAACCTCTTTAGTACTTTTCTGTACACTGACTCCTATCATCACTTTGTTCCTATTGTAATACTCCTAAATAAAGTTTTCCTTTTTTTTTTTTTTTCCAAACTGGGGATTGAATACAATAAGGATAAGTGGGAATTTATAGTCAACAAGCAGAGTGAGGGGGCAATGGGTGCAAAATTTCTAAGAGGCAACATCATGGTAGGGAGATTCTTGCTAAACCCAAGTTAACAAGATTCCAGTTGAAGAAAGGCCAGGGAGATCACATTTCAAGGATGATATTCATGCTCACATAAGGAGCTTATTGCTGAGTTTATTTATTATGATACTGGGGAACTGCACACAGGGCCTCATGCATACTAAGCAAGGGGGCTACCACTGAGCTACATCCTCAGTCCTGCTAAGTTTGTTCTTTTTTTTTTTTTTAAAGTTACAGAAGGACATAGTATCTTTATTTATTTTTATGTGGTGCTGAGGATCGAACCCAGTGCCTCACATGTGCAAGGTGAGCGCTTTGCCACCGAGCCACAACCCCAGCCCCTAAGTTTGTTCTTAATTAAAGAAAGAGCACTACCTTAAAGAATTATCTCTAAAGAATAATTTGTTCATAGAAAGGAATGATAAAACACAAAGAGGGGCTGGGCTTGTAACTCAGTTGGTAGAGTACTTGCTTTGCATGCACAAGGCCCTGGGTTCCATCCCCAGCACCACATAATTAAAAAAAAAAAAAAAAACACAAAGAGACTCGGGAATATTGCATGATAAACGCCAGAGTCTCATCTATAGGACTCTTACTATTCTGTGGCAAGAGGAAAAAGGAAAATGAAAAAGACCTCTCAATGAACCTCCAAAGGCATGGAGATTTCTCAGTCAAAATTGAAAAAAAAAGTTAAAAAAATACATATATAAAAAACATATATGTAAAATAGTTCGTTGGAGGGGATAAAATAGATCCCTTGTCACTACTCCTGACCAGGAAAACCTGAGGGGCATTCCTAACAACTACAACTCCCAGCCAGCCCTGCGGCGGGGCGGGGCTTGCTGACCGTTATGACACCACGGGCGGGGCCGGGCTGGATCGGCGATCCCTGGGGCTTTTAGTCCCGCCCCTGCCCCTTTTCCTGCCTTGTTGCTGTTGCGCGGCTGCCGGCTGCTACCCTGGTGAGTCCCTGAAGTGAAAGGGGGCCGCTGGGCCCTCGGGTTCCCCAGACTCAGACTTCCAGCACCGAGAAAGGACTTGGACGGTAGAGGTGCGGCCGATTTCAGCTTTCACCTCACGCCACCTCCTAAGGTGATCTTCAGTGGGAGTTAGACCCCGGAGGCCCTGGCGCTCCTTCCGAGGCCTTGGAGGGTTCAGGGACAGTTTTCTCCTGAGGAGGGCAGGGGCGCAGTGCTTTTGGTCGCTGACCGGGGAGAGGGTCGTGACGCAGCAGCCTCCCTACGTGTCCTTGGCGTCATGCCCCCTCCCACCGCCACCTGGGGGTTCGTAATCCGCCTCGCCTGGACGTCGCGCGGACTGCTGCCCCGCGCGGGCGGGGCCGCGTCACTCCGGAGAAGTTACTTTTCCTTAGGCCTCAGTTTCCCGCTCTGCGAGTAGGCTTCATACCTGAAGCCCCCTCCCATTTTATTCAGGGCAGCCTAGAAGAAAAAGGCGTAGTGCCGACCTACTTCACCGTTGCTTTTCCCTTGCCCCTCCCCACTGGCATTAGCCCGATTTAGTTTGGGGGCTAAAGTTCCCATTCACATTTGATTTCAGCCCCACCCGGACAGGTTAACTTTTTTCCTGTCGCTTGGATTCTTTGCTGCAGATGCCGGCCAACAAGTGGCCATGGTTGGAGTCGAGTAGAATAATATGGAAGATACATTATAACTCATCTCTTAGGGTTTGCCCAATCCATATGAAACAATGGAACGTGATGCAGTAGGTCTTTGTCGCTTGTGTCGAACACATGATTTATGAATAACTGGATGGCTCATTTGCCCAGATAATTTCAGGGGGCTTTGAAACTCTACCCTTTGGCAGACTTGACAGCTGTGGAGTGGAAAGAACCTTTAAAAGGGTAGTCAGTAATCCTGAGTTAATTGGAACTAACAAGTTGTATGGTTCAAATCACATTGTACATTTAGGCTCTTTGAAAAATGTGCCTGTACTTGCTGACACAGTGTCATGCTCCTGATTTTCTTAGAAAAGAAAGATAAAATGAACACTTTCACTTTCTTTTTCTTTCACTTGGGATTATCATTGTAGCCGTAAATGTCCTTAGAGATTTTCTAACATGATCCATGCATTTTACTGATGAGGTAACAGAAACCTAAATGTAGATAGTGTGACTTGGCCAAGATCTCAGGCTAGTTTGTATAAGAACTAAGACAGAAACCCATGTCCCTTGACTGGTGCCTACTCCCCTTTCCAATACTCTTCAAACACTGCATCTGCGCATATCACTATGACATGACATAGGAAAGTCATCCATTTCAAGAAAAAAGTGTGGGTAGACCAAGATTTTCACAGACTTTCTGGTTGCTTGCGTCCCAGAACTGTTTTCCTATGCTTTCCCTAGTACTGCTGGCACTATGGTTGATGTGATATGTGGAATAAGGGCTTGCTTAGAATAAGCTGAGCAGCCAGTTCAAATAGTTGTCAATGAGTAGTCTTAAAGCCTTTGGGATTATAAAAGTCTTCTAAGGCACTCTAAAACATTTTAGTTAAGGAACTTGAATGAACTTGGGAAATTTGGATAGAGCAAGTGGCTCAGTAATCTGAGCAGCCATTATTTCTGGTTTTGATTTTCCTACCTGTCTCAGGGACACATACTACCAGTGTTCAGTAAGGTTAGTTATATGTATGCATCTACCAGGGTCAGGGAGAAATGGGATTCAAATCAGTTCATTCATTTTGCTAATTGCTATTAGCTTTAGAAAGTAAGCATAAGTATGAAGCAATTAGATTTAATGTAGATTTGACTTTTACTAATGTTTGTTTTTACTATTCCCAAATGAAGAATAGATTTGCGTGTGTTGGCTATATAAATGTTGATATCCTTTTGTGAATTAATCCAGAGAAGCTACCTGTGTAGCTATGTCTCTTGAAACATGCCCCCACTCATATAAAAGAATAATTAATGTTGGGCTGGGCACCATGGTGCACACCTGTAATCCCAGTGACTCAGGAGGCTGAGGCAGGAGGATGGCAAGTTTGAAGCCACCCTTGGCAATTTAGTGAAATCCTGTCTCAAAAAATATAAAGGGCTGGAGATATGGTGCCCTTGGGTTCAATCTCAGTAACACACACACACACACACACAAAAGTGTTGGGCATTTAAAATTATTTTTTCTGGGCTGTGGATGTGGCTCAAGCGGTAGCGCGCTCGCCTGGCATGCGTGCGGCCCGGGTTCGATCCTTAGCACCACATACAAACAAGGATGTTGTGTCTGTCAATAACTAAAAAATAAATAAATATTAAAATATTCTCTCTCTCTCTCTCAAAAAAATAAAATAAAATTATTTTTTCTGCTAAAAAGCATATCAATGTAGTTTGCAGATTCACTCAAAACAGAAGTAGAACTGGCTATTGTTGCCTTTTAGGATAAAAGGATCTGTGCCCTTCATGGAACAGTCCTGGGAGTAGTATATTAAGCTTAAAAAGCTCATTAGGTGAAAATATGTCATGTTTTCTTAGGAGTCAGTTCAGGGGACTTGTTTTAAAATACACTCCTATTATTGCCAGTTCCCCTGAGGGCCCTAATCCTTTTGGAAACCAAGCTGGAGAGGAGGGGTGGGGAAGGAAGGTCAAGTAAAGTGCCTATGGTAGTTTGTGGCATCTCTGTATTATGCTTGATGGTTTTGTTTTTTTTAAATCCTTATTTATTTTTCTTGGTCATTTCTTATGAGGCCAGCCTAATTTGGGGGTAGAAATTAAGGAATTAGGTAGAATACCATTCCACAATACCATTTCTAGGGGACCTAAAATATCTACTGCTTTTTCATGTTTAGGTAACTCTCAGGGCTTCTAAATTTAACTGTTTTGCTCTTCATATGTTTCTTCTCCTTTGCCTCTATGATTTATTGCCAGAATTACAAGTGGATGGTAGAAAGGTCCTACAGTGAGAAGAATGGTTAAAGGAGGGGAAGTTAATGTGTAAATCATTCAAATTTTCCTTCCATATCCTTTCTTTAGTACCTTCTCCACAAACAGTCATCTCTAAACTGCTTTGTCAGAAAGGTAATTTCCCAAGCCATTGTTGGAGCCCATTTGTCCCAAGGGATTTTATCACAGGGAGGAAGGAAAGATTTTATACGGATCACTGATCTTAAAAATCAGCAGATGCCTTCCTTCCAGGAAAAGTAGGAGTCCTTCCTCACTGACATAATTCAGATTGGTATAGTTATGCTTGAGGTTTGCTTGGTGCTGTCCTAAACTTTGGTAAAGGAGAGAAGAAAAGCCAGTCTTCGGAGAGGAGAGTTTTAATCTTTATTAGAAGAATGGTTGAAATCTAAACTGGGTACGGTGGTTTGTGCCTGTAATCTCAGCTACTGGGCAGGTGGAGAGCATTACAAGTTAAAGGCCAACCTGAGCAACTTAGCAAGACCCTTTCTCAAAATAAAAATTAAAAACGTTAAAAGAATCATTGACTTCTGAATACCCTGAGTCCTGCTGAGAATATTATGAGATCCTGAAATGAGAAACTTCATGGAGTCTTACATTTTTAAAAAATATATTTTTTAGTTATAGTTGAATACAATACCTTTATTTAATTTATTTTTTATGTGGTGCTGAGGATAGAACCCAGGGCCTTGCACATGCTAGGTGAGTACTCTACTGCTGAGCCACAACCCCATTTTTGATAAGCACAGAACCAAAGCTGTAGACTTTTCCAGACAGATTGATTAGGTTTTAAAATGAACGAGACAGTTTTTCCTCCAAATGAGCACTCAAACCTCAAAACATGAGCTCTATAAGGTATTTTGTGTGTATACCTGTGTGCATGCCCTGTCCTTTCTTCAGAGTTCTGCTCATGAGCTACTTTTTTTTGGGGGGAGGGGGGATGTCCCAGGGATTGAACCCAGGGGTGCATAACCACTGAGCTACATTGCCAGCCCTTTTTATTTTGAGATAGGGTCTTGCTGTGTTGCTTAAGGCCTCAATAAGTTACTGAGGCTGACTTTGAATTTGTGATCCTCCTGCTCAGCCTCCTAAGCCACTGGGATTACAGACATGCACCACCATGCCTGGCTCATGAGTTACTTTGGTGGTTTTTTTGGTAAGAAGACAGGCTGTAAAAAGCCACCCCAACCTGGTTTTACTTTTTAGAGTAGCATCCATTTGTATAACACCTTGCAAGAATTTGAGTGTGTGGAAGGTGGGTAATGGAGTGTGAATTGGATGGGTTCTTTTCTTTTTAAATATTTTTTAGTTGTAGATGGACACAATACCTTTAATTATTTTATTTATTTATTTTTATGTAATGCCAGGGATCAAACTCAGTGCCTCATGCATGCTAGGCAAGCACTTTATTATTAAGCCACAACCCCAGCCTCTTGAATGGGTTCTTAAGGAAATCATATTACTGCCTTTTTTGGCACCATGCTGCTTGAACCAGCCATGCCAGCTGAACCAGCCACAGCAAGAATTGACATTGCATCTGGATATTATATCCTCACCCGATTATAGACAGAAGAAAGCTGAAAAATATCAACTTCCCCACGGGTATTCCATAAATTAAGAGTAGAGTTTAAAAAAAAAAAAAAAAGACTTAGCCCCACCATCACCTCCATATCATCATCATCATCATCATTATTATTAATTACTTATTATATTTTTTGCAATGCTAGGGATGGAACCCATGACCTTGCAAATGCTTTCTACTAGAGTTATGTCTATCCCCAGTCTACCCTTAACATTATTTACCTGCAAAATTCCTTCTCTTTTTACTGTTTGATATGCATATCAATATGCATATCTTGTTCATTCATTTGTTCAACAAATACCCAATTATTGATTATTTTGCATTAGGCATTGTGTTGCTAGTCATAGGAAAAGAACTAGAAGTGAGATACTTAGGTTAATTGAGGGGCAGGCTCTGGAAATCACTCTTACCTGAATGTTCTTCATGATCCATAGGCAAAGGACAAATTAAATCATTTTATATTCTTAGATAAATTGGTGCTTCTGGCTTAGGACAGAGAGAAGGAAATTTGCTGACCTCAGAATGATTGGAGACTCCTAGGGAGAAAGAGTCTGCAAGCTGATAAACCTCCCTGCCTATCTTCCCATACCATCCAAAAGAAACCCTCATCACAGACAATAGCTTATTATGGGGGAAATAATAGACCAGAATGGGACCCCACCCCCTCCACTTTGAAAAAATGTTCTAAGGTTTGAGGTTGAGGATGTGGCTAGACTATGTCAAAAACCAGAAAGCCAGTGATTTCTTAGTTCTTTAGCTTAATCTCAAAAATAGTTCAGTGCCCCCACAGTCCCCTTGCCTTCTCTCTGAAAAAAAAAAAAGACAAGGGGACTTTGTTTTCATAAGGAATTGCATCCCTTCTTTTGAATACCAGAGTATTTTGCACTTCTTTTTCATTCATTTGGCAGTTACTTATATACTCATTTAGCCTCTCTATGGGACTAGGACCCTTTTGAGGGCAAGGTTAATGCCAGGAAAAAATAAAAATCCCTCCACAAACATACTAGTAATCACTAGCATCTGTTAAACCCTTTCTTTTTGCAGACTGTTAAATTCTTTATTCTGTCAGTCAGCATGAGTCTACCTTGAAGTGTCTTGCTTAGTGGCAGGCTGATTTAATGGCTGGACACTTTTTATTATTACACTTAAGCCTCACAAAACAACAGCAGTTGGGGTAGATGTTGTTATAGGCCCCATTTTACAGATGAAGAAATAATCACAGAGCCTAACTGATTTAAGTAAATTGCCCAAATGTTATCCCTTTATAAGAAGGGGAAAGTGTGATTTGAATATTACTATTCTGACTTCAAAACCCATGTTTCCCACCACCTCATGTCACATAGTCTCTTATTTCTATCTTTGTTCTAATCTCAGCCTAGTTTAGGGTCTTTTGTGTATGTGGTACTGCAAATTGAACTCAGGGGCCTTATACAACTGAGCTACATCCCAACCCTTTTTTAATTTTTTTATTTTGTGACAAATTCTCACAAAGTTGCCCAGTCTGACCTCAAACTTGTGATCCTCCTGCTTTAACTTCCCAAAACATACTGTCTTTTATATGGAAGGGCCCAATAATTATAAATGGAATTTAATGAAGACACTGAACTCTAGAGAGATTAACTTAGGAAAGTCATAGGGCTTATTAGGATGAAAAATCTAAAATCTAGGTCTTCCATATTCCCTAGGCTGTTTTCTCTAGGTTGTCTTGTTTATTAAAGGGAAATAGAATCAGCAGGATACTGTGGCACAACCCTGTAATCCTAGTGACTCAGGAGGCTGAAGCAGGAGGATCATAAATTCCAATTCAGCCTCAGTAATTTAGTGAGGTCCTAAGCAACTTAGCGAGACCCTGTCTCAGAATAAAAAAATGAAAGGAGAGAGGGATGTAGCTCAGTGGTAGAGTACCCCTGAGTTGAATCCCCAGTACCAAAAAAAAAAAAAAAAAAAAAGGAAACAACTACCACCAACTACCTGTAAGCAGAGAACTAGAATATACCTGTAATCTCAGTGACTTGGAAGGCTGAGACAAGAGGATCCCATGTTCGAGGCCAGCCTCAGCAGTTTAGTGAGGGCCTAAGCAACTTTATGAGACCCTTTTTCAAAATTTAAAAGGGGCTAGAGATGTACCTCATTGGTAAAATGCCCCTGGAAACCCATTCCCCACAAAAAAAAAAAAAAAAAAAAAAAAGTGTACGAGGGTTTGGGTTGTGTATACCTGAAATCTCAGCTACTCTAGAAGCTGAGGCAGGAAGATCAGAAGTTGAAGGCCACTTTAAGCAAGACCCTGCATCAAAACATAAAAAGGGCTGGAGGTGTAGCTCAGTTGTAAAGTGTGTCTCTGGGATCTATCCCAGACATCAAAAGAGAGAATGTGAGTGTGGTGATGCTTATGGTAAAGAGGTCAAAGATATATTCTCTGAAAATTCTTAAAAGTATGGGAAGTTATGGATGAGAAATGGTACAAAGTGAAACAGAAAGCGAATTGTGTGGTCTCACTACTTGTCAGAATTTTGCTTTTTCTGATTGCCTTGAACAGAATGTTCTTGGGTGAGAGCCCAGAAATCTCTGGCATTTCAGAAAACCTTTCCGAGCCTTACTCTATTCCGTATCTCATAACAGGACACCCATCATGGAAAAAACAATAGAAGATCCCCCCACATCAGCTGTCTTGCTCGATCGTTGTCATTTCTCTCAGGTCATCTTTAATAGTGTGGAGAAGTTCTATGTCCCTGGAGGGGACATCACATGCTATTATACCTTCGCCGAGCATTTCATCCCTCGTCGAAAGGACTGGATTGGCATCTTTAGAGTAAGTGTTTAATTTAGTACCAAGTAATTGGGAACTAGAGGTGAATCTTTGTTACCTGAGGGTGTGACTCTTGTATGTATCATGTCTGGCTAATTTTAAAATCCTAAATTAAATTCCTTATCATTTCCCTTATCACATACCAATGTGTGCTGTGGAACTCAAACTTTAATTTTAATTTCAAATTAAAATAACATAGGAGCTGGGCTGGGGTTGTAGCTCAACAATAGCATGCTTGCCTAGCACACATGGGGCACTGGGTTCGATCCTCAGTACCACATAAAAATTAAATAAAGATTGTGTGTCCACCTATAACTAAAAAATAAATATAAATAAAATAAAAATAACATGGGAGCCAGGCGTGATGGTGCATGCCTGTAATCCCAGCAACTCAGGAGGCTGAGACAAGAGGATTGCAAGTTCAAAGCCATCCTCAGCGACTTAGTGAGGCTCTAAGCCACTCAGTGAGACCTGTCTTAAAATAAAAAATAAAAAGACCTGGGGATGTGGCTCAGTGATTAAACACCCCTGGGTTCAATCCCTGGTACCAAAAAAAATAAAAATAACAGGAAACCCGACAATCCTTAAGTTTTATTATGCTTTCAAAGACCAAATATAAATGCTTTTTAGATGATCCAATTTTGATTGATTTGGGTGACCCCCTATATAATTTTTGTGACTTTAAATATTACTTTATCCATCCCTTATTTGGTACAGTGTTTAATTTGTTTTAATATGAATATTAAAAATCTGAAAAGGTTGAGAAATTACCTGATTTGAAATCCTGCATCCAAAAAGTTTGTTCCTGGGGCTGGGGATGTGGCTCAAGTGGTAACACGCTCGCCTAGCATGCATAAGGCACTGGGTTCGATTCTCAGCACCACGTAAAAATAAAAAAAGATATTGTGTCCACCTAAAACTAAAAATGAATATTTAAAAAAAAATTTGTTTCTGAATTAATGTGTCTTATTTCTTCCAAGGACAAAAATTTATGAGCTCCTTCAGTGACCTCTTCCAGTGTCTAATCATCCTGTCAGTTCAAGTATAGAAATTTTAAAGATTTTAATAAACTTAGTCTTTATATATCACCTTCCCCTGCTTTCTTTATCTCTTATGTCTGTATGTGTGTGTCTCTCATACACACGTACACATACATATATATGTATATTCCCCATAATAATAAATCTTCCAATTTCCAGAGATAGGAGATAAAAGTCAAATTTAAGTAATTTACATTACTAACTCCCAACATCAGTGACTTTTGATTTGACATTTTACTATGTGCCTGTTTGCCGATGCTGTTCATCTTGAAATCAAACACCATTTTTTACTGTAGTGTGAAGGAACTATGGCTTATTTACATCCCTCAGTGAATTCCTTTTTCTTAATTGTTTGAAAGACCAAGACAAGACTGATGTTTGGAGATAGAGATAGTAAACAACCAACAGGACATTGTCATCAGACTAAGAGGTATTCCAACACAGAAAATGGACACTCTATAGTGTTTTTTGTCTTGGAAAGAAGGTAGTAGCTACTTGTTTTTCTTTTCCATATATAACAAAGCATACAGAGCAGTGTTATCTAATAGAACTTTCTGCAGTATCTTTGTTATTCATTACAGTAGCTGCTAGCCACATGTGGCTATTAAGCATTTAAAATGTGGCTAGTGTGACTAATTGGATTTTAACTTTAAATTTTAATTAATGTAAATTAATTAAATTTAAACATCCTTTTGTCATTAGTAGTTGTTATAGGATGGTGCAGATATAGATAATTTTAAAAAAATAATGATTTAATTATTAGCCTTGTTAATGTAACATACAATTTCTTTTTTGTTGTTGTTGTTGTTGCAACATGGTTATATTTCTTAGGCTGATTTCATTCCCCAAGCATTCAGCAACTGCCAATGAGGACTTTATAATAAACCAAATGAAAATCTTACACTGTTTATTTATTTATTTATTTTCAGTGTTGGGGATTGAACGGGCACACTACCACTGAGCCATATCCCTAGCCCTTTTTATTTTATTTTGAAGCAGGATCTCTCTAAGTTACCTAGAGCCTTGCTAAGTTGCTGAGGCTGGCTTTGAACTTGCAGTCCTTCTGCCTCAGCCTCAATGGGAATACAGGTGTGCACCATGCCCAGCTCTCTGGTTCTCCTTAAGGCAGGCCAGGTCTAAATAATTCACAGGTTATGGGGGTTTTTGGTTTTTTTTATTGTTGTTGTTGTTGTTCTTTTTCCTGGTGCTTTGAATTGAACCCAGGGCCTTGTGCATGCTAGGAAAGTACTTTTATCATTGAGCCACCTCCCCAGCCCTTCTAATGCTTTTTAAAACCAGATGTTTAAAAGCATTTTTAAAAAACACATCTATATTTGGGATGTTTTGTGCACTTCATATGTGTTACCCTACCTCAATAAAGAAGTAATGGTTGCCAGGCAAGGTTGTGTAGGTTTGTAATCCCAGCTAGGAGGCTGAGGTAGAAGGATCACAATTTCAAGGCCAACCTGGGCCACTTATTAAGACCCTGTCTCAAAATAAATAAAAAGGACTAGGGACTTAGTACAGTGGTAAAGTGCCTCTGGATTCAGTCCCTAGTACCAAAAGAAAAACAGTAATAATGGTTAATCCAAAGAAGGGATTCTAATATTTATTGTCCATAAAGCTATTGACTTGAGCACCATCCTGAGGACGCACTTATGAACTAGACCTTTGTGTATGCTTTAATTTGATCCTTACAACACAGGAGCCTTCTTGAGGTGAGTGGTCTTTAATGCACAGATGAGTAAAATGAATATCCTTGAGAGATGGTGACTTTCTCCAGGTCTCAAAGTAACAAAGTGGTAAAGCAAGTTATTTTGACTCCCAAGCCTCTGCTTTTTCTCCTCTATTCTGCTAAATTCCTTTGAATAACAGGCGATGAATTAAAGAATCAAAGAGTTTCTTGTAAATTTTTGACCCTGATATCTCACTTCTAAAGCTCTCCTAGTGTTCCTTCACTGTAGCTTTAATCAGACTGTCACCCCTAATATTGGTAGTTCATGGCACCAAGTAAGCACGCAATAAATTTTTTTTGATGCATGCAGTGTGTTACTTCTTCTAATTATAGTCACAGCTACCACCAGTGATAGAGCCTGAAGGAGGTAGGAGTTAGCTCTCCTTCCTTTAAGAAACAATGGCAGAGGGGATATAATCATCCTGTGCAAGTAGAAGAGCCAAAGATAGGAATTGTAGGTAGATAGAAATTGTTTCCTTGTTCCAAGGCAGCCATAATTCTTAGGCCTGCCTGATGATATTTCGGTCACAGTGCATTAAGAAACTCCAGGATGTGAATGAGGATTCTATAAAATTCCTGTACCACCACAGGCTGCAGTGGTTCTGAGATGTTTACAGCAACGGGGTATATTAGCAAGACTCTAAAATATGCCCTAGTATTTTCTGGTGAGCTTTGGGTATAGCCTTTTCAACCTTGTTCCAGTTCCTTGATATATAAAAATGGAGTTTATTTTTAGTTATTTCTTTTCCCACTGGGCACAGGCAGGGTCAAAATATGACAATAAAAGTGATTTTGCTTCTCATTTGTTGAGTGTTCTCCCTTTAAAAATACAATTGCTCTCTTTCTATTCTCGAGTGTCCTTTTATCTTCCAGATAAGTTTTGAGCCATCTTTTACACCTTTTCACATTTAGTAAGAGTATTTTATATTTAGCCAGCTTTCTGCTCTAAGGCATCTTTTGCTATATCTTTTTTTTTTTTTTTTAATCATCATTTTCAAGTCACAAGTTGTTTATTTCAAACTCTAGAGAGGAAGAGAAAGAACTGGACTTTTTTCGGCGGACACAACATCTTTGTTTGTATGTGGTGCTGAGGATCGAACCCAGGCCGCACGCATGCCAGGCGAGCGCGCTACCGCTTGAGCCACATCTCCAGCCCATCTTTTGCTATATCTTTATGTCATACAATTTATTGTATTCAACACCTAGAAGAAGCCATTATTACTACCAGATTTTTACTATCTTTATCACCAAAAAGCTTTCACTGAGCATGCATTAAGAAAAACACTGAAGACAAAGCTTTATAGATCTAGACTGTCTCATCTGGTGTCTCATAATCTAAGAACATTCTTACTCTTGCCCCTCTACCCCCAACACACATATTTTTTTAGCATGCATTTAAAAATAACAGGTTGGTATGTGAAGAGGCTGAATTGAACACAGTAGAGGACAAACAAATGGAGAGGGCAAGTTAGCAAGTTAGAAATGCTTTCTGATTTAGAAGTGTTTTCTTTGTTGTTGTTGCTTGTTTGTTTGTTTGTTTTGTGTGTGTTTGTTTATGTGGTGCTGGGGATTGAACCCAGGTTCTTGTGCATGTTAGGCAAGCACTCTACCAACTGAGCTATATCCCCAGCCCCTGATTTAGAAGTTCTAAGAGCACCTTTGCAAGAAGATAGTGGGATCTAGGTTCATAGACCCAGAACCATTTTACCCCATCATTCTCAGCTTTGTGTCTGACTTAGAGATAGAATTTGGAGCTCATGTCCTGGGTGTTCATTGACGAGCCAGTTTTTATCCTTCTAAACTGTTATTTTGAACTCTGGGTATGCATCTCAATTTTTAGTTTTATTAAACATTATTCCATATAAAGTTGTCATAGTAAAAAAAACGTGAATCTTGTCATAACAAACTTATTCTATTTTATTTTTAACATATACAAGTAAAATATAAGTGCATTTTAAGATGACATAGCCCAGGTAAGACTTTTTCTCCAAGCCCTGTCAGGTGTCAAATGAGACTCTCTTTGTCATTGCAGGTGGGATGGAAGACAACCCGTGAATATTATACCTTCATGTGGGTTGCTTTGCCTAGTGACATAAACAACAAATCAGCCAAACAGCAGGAAGTCCAATTTAAAGGTGAGAAAAATACTAGATCAAAGTGTTGAAAACAGGAGCCAAGACTAATTAATTCCCTTGAATTGAGCTTGCCAGGGCAAATAAAATTACTTCTAGATTTAAACATTTGGAATAGACCTTATTTTGGATTGCTGTGTTTTCAGCTTATTACCTGCCTAAGGATGATGAGTATTACCAGTTCTGCTATGTGGATCAGGATGGTGTGGTCCGGGGAGCAAGTATCCCTTTCCAGTTCCGTCCAGAAAGTGAGGAGGACATCCTGGTTGTTACTACTAAGGTCTGTAATCATCTCAAACCCTTTCTGATATAGAGTAATAGTTGAAATAGGGTAGAATTTGAGTCAGGAAGGCCTTATCTTTTTTTTATCCAGACCAGGGATTGAACCCAAGGGTGCTTAACCCCTAGCCGCCTTCTTTTTTTTTTTTTTCTTTTTTTCTTTTTAGTTGTAGATGGACACAATACCTTTATTTTATTTCTTTATATTTATGTGGTGCTGAGGATCAAACCCAGTGCCTCACATGTGCGAGGCAAGCCCTCTACAATTGAGCCACAACCCCAGCCCCACCACCCAGCCCTTTTTTATTTTGAGAAAGGAGCTTTCTAAGTTGCTTAGAGCTCCGCTAAGTTACTGAGGCTGCCTTTGAACTTGCGATCCCCCGGCCTTAGCCTCCTGAGCCACTGGGAGTATGCCACTACACCCGGCAAATCAATAGGCTTTATAGAATTATGGAGGGCGGGTATGGGGCATTGAACCCAGGGAAGCTTAACCACTAAGCCACATACCCAGCCTTTTTTTTTATTTTTATTTTTTATATTTTGTAGTTGTGGATGAGCATAATGCCTTTATTTTATTTGTTAATTTTTATGTGGTGCTGAGGATCAAACCCATTGCCTCATGCGTGCTAGGCAAGCGCTTTGCCACAGAGCTACGGCCTCAGCCCATCAGCCCTTTTTTAATATTTTGTTTAGAGACAGGGTCTCACTGTGTTGCTAGGCTGGCTTTGAATTTGTGATCCTCCTGCCTCAGCCTCCCAACACTGGTGGGATTATAGGCATGCACCACTGCACCCCGAAAGGCTTTATAGAATATTTAACAGATACTGTTGGGAAAAACCTATATAGTACCCACTTTAACCCACCAAGGAATATTAAAAAGAATCATAATAATAAGTGAATTCTCCCATCTCTAGAAGTTTTTGTAACTTAGTTGGCATTCAGTTATTCCCTTAACTTTTCTAGGTACTTAATTTTTGTCATCTGAGCGTACTAAGACAACTGTAAATGTACAGGCTCCACTGAGGAGAGAAGCACCAAGTAGTCTTCTTTGTATCTCTCAATTCTGACCCAGTGCCTATCATACATGATTATTAGATTCATTAACTTACTCACCTGTCAGGACACTTATTTTTCATCTAGCACTATGGTAGACAGTAGGGAGGCTATGAAAAACCAGTTAAAATACTAACTGTGCTGGGTGCTGCGGAGCACACCTGTAATCCCAGTGGCTCGGGAGGCTGAAACTGGAGGATCTCAAGTTCAAAACTAGACTCAGCAATTTAACAAAGCCAAAAGCAACTTAATGAGATTCTATATCAAAATAAAATATAAAAAAGTGCTGGGGATGTGGCTCAGTGGTTAAGTGTCCATGAGTTCAATACCTAGTACCGAAGGACAAAAAAAAAGACTAGCTGGGTCGGGCGTGGTGGCACACGCCTGTAATCCCAGCAGCTTGGGAGGCTAAGACAGGAAGATCGCTAGTTCGGCCAGCCTCAGCAATGGTGAGGCCCTAAACAACTCAGTGAGACCCTGTCTTTAAATAAAATACAAAACATAGGGCTGGGCATGTGGCTCAGTGGTCAAGTGCCCCTGAATTCAATATCTGGTACTCCCCGCCTCCCCCCCCCCCAAAAAAAAAACTATACCAGCTGGGCATTGTGACTCACATATGTAATCCCAGTGGTTAAGAAGACTGAGGCAGGAGGACGGCAGGTTTGAAGCCAGCTTCAGTTCAAGGTCCTAAGCAACCTAGTGAGACTTTGTCTCAAAATAAAAAATAGAAAGGGGTGGGAAAGGATGTGGCTCAGTGGTTAAGCACCCTTTGAGTTCAATCCCTGGCACTAAATAAATAAATAAATAAATACTCACTGTACCTGGCCTCAAGTCCTTTAAGAAAGACAAATAATACTATGTATCTACAAGAAGAATCTGCATATACCTTTGCTTGCATACACACTGAGGAGCTGCTGCCATTGGGGTACATAAATGTCATTCCAGTGAGTGGAAATCATACCTTCACCATCCCAACATATGGGGATTTTTTTTACTAGAATATAGTTTGTGGAATGTTCTTTTGTAGGGAAAGGTAGAAGAGATTGAACAGCACAATGAGGAGCTTTGCAAAGAAAACCAGGAACTGAAGGACAGCTGTGCCAGCCTCCAGAAGCAGAACTCAAGCATGCAGGCTGAGCTCCAAAGGAAGCAGGTGTGGCTGCTAGTTAAAGGTGAACTTGGAACATGGAGATCAGAATTGGATAGTATCTCTTGCCTAGCACTGTTTTCTGTCTTGTTTGTGAATCCCTTATTCCAATATCTTTGAATAGGCACTGTTAAAAGTTTTATATGGATTATTTTGTTTATAATAAAAATGAAAATTAACTTTCCTCAACCTGAGGATTACTCATTATGGAATTGTGGCACTATTATCCCAATTTTATAGATGCGTAATCTGAGATTTAGGAGGGGTAAATAATCAGCGATGGAACCCAGATTCAAACTCAGTCTTTTTCTGCCTTTTGCATATTTATAATTTGAAATGTTTTCTTTGATTGACTACAATGTAAAAATCAAGAGGGAGAAGAGTTAGTATACAGGTGAGGTTATAGATTGTTTAAACTCTTTGCTATTTCTCCTCCTCTGAATCATCCTCCAAATCAGCAGGCAAGGGATGACAGTTGATAATGCTAGAAGCTAAGCAAAAGAAAATTTTCTCTAAAGGCTATAAGCAATAACTTTGGAGCTAAAAGTAGGAAGTTAATGTTGATGTATGGGATTGACTTCAGTGCAAAAGGAAACTAGGAAAGAAAAAACAAATGTCTAGGACCAGTATGGTGGTAGCTAGCCACATTTGACCGTTAAACACTTGAAATTCAGCTGCATTGAGAAGTGTTGTGATCATAAAATATACACCAAATTGCAAAGATTTTGTATGAAAAAATAGAAAATATCTCCTTTTTATTGTCAACAAAATTTTATTATGTTGGGCTTAATATATTATTAAAATTAGTTTCATCTATTTCTTTTTAATTTTTTTAATTGTTGATGTACCTTTATTTTATTTGCTTATTTATATGTGGTGCTGGGAATCGAACACAGTGCCTCAGACGTATAAGGCAAGCGCTGTACCGCTGAGCTACAACTCCAGCCCTCTTTTTAATTTTTTTAGTGACCATTAAAATTTATTAATTATATATGTGGCTCTCATTAATTTATAGGATAGCACCATTTTAGAAGAAAAGCAACTTTATCTATTTTGCCCACTGCAGAACAGTTTATAGTGTGTAACTGACACTTAATAAATATTTGTCTAATGAATTAATGGATAAATATAAGCTCCTGTGGATGTAAAATTAAGGTTTTTTGTTTTGTTTTGTTTTGTTTGTTTTTTAGTTGTAGTTGGGACACAATACCTTTATTTTATTTATTTATTTTTATGTGGTTCTGAGGATCAAACCCAAGGCCTCACACATGCTAGATGAGCACTCTACCACTGAGCTACAACCCCAGCCCTTAAGGTGGTTTTTGTTTTGTTTTGTTTTAGTACCTAGATTAAACCCAGGACACTTTATCACTGAGCTGTACCCACAACCCTTTTTATTTTTTAGAGCAAGTTCTGGCTAAGTTGCCCAAGCAGGCCTAGAATTTATAATCCTCCTGCCTCAGCCTCCTCAGTAGCTGGGATTACAGGCATGTGCCATCACATCCAGCTAGATGCATTTTTAAGCTGGAAAGAACAGAACTGAGGATGTAGCTCAGTGGTAGATCACTTGCTTAACGTTAAATGTGTGAGGCCCTGAGTTTGATCTTCAGCACCACACACACACACAAAAATTAAAATGTACAAATCTACATATACACACACATACATAATTATAGGGAGAGAGAGAGATAGAAAAAACATAACTAAAAATATTTTCATCATGGGTGAAGTAGCACACTCCTATAATCCCAGCAGCTTGGGAGGCTGAGATAGGAAGTTCATGAATTCAAGAGCAACTCGACAAAAGCCTGTCTCTAAAAAAAATAAATAAATAAAAAATAAAAGCTGGGGAGGTGACTCAGTGGTTAAGCGTCCCTGGGTTCAATCCCAGTACCAAAAAAAAAAATTTTTTTTTTTCATATGGAAATGTCTTTTTTTTAAAAAAAATTTATTTATGTATCTTTAGTTTTTTTAGGTGGACACATTTTTTTTTTTTTTTTAAATGTGGTGCTGAGGATTGAACCCAGTGCCTCATGCATGCCAGGCGAACACTCTATCACTGAGCCAAACCCCAACCCCACATATGGAAATGTCTTTACTTGGATATTTCTTTACTGCTGTATCATGCTATGCTTAATGTAAGTAAGTTCTCAATAAATATTTGTTGGCTGCCTAAGATAATGAAGTGTCTTAGAAATTATCTGTTCCTTTGATGATGTTTCAATTTATAGGAGGAGCTGGAGACTCTACAGAGTATCAATAAGAAATTGGAACAGAAAGTGAAAGAGCAGAAAACCTGTTGGGAAACTGAGCTGCTTCAGTGAGTGTGTCTTACAATTCTTAGATAGGAGGAACTGCTGTGTTAATAGGCACCCTTATGCAGAGTCAGATCAGATTTCTAGAATTTATTATAGAACATGTCTGTTGACAATGATAGATGTGATCAACTGCAGGCTTAGAGCCAAGCTAGGTTTAAATCATTTAAACCCAGAAGGAGCCAACCTAGAAACAGTGAATATTTTAATTTGTTATCTTCATCTCCACAGACTGAAAGAACATAACCAGAAAGTGTCCTCAGAAAATGAGAAGATGGGAATCAGAGTGGATCAGCTTCAGGTAGGTAATGTCACAATTTTGCCAAAGGATGTTTCCTTAGCTTTGCCACCACCCTAATCTGGTGGCCTGGGAAGATGCATTTCATCATAGTTAAGTGCCAAATGGCATACCTTTCAAAGCATCAGACTAAAGTTTCAGGTTATGTATTTTCCATTCTTTTTTTTTTTTTTTTAATATACTAGTTTTGACCATTTTTCATCTCTTCATATCTTTTTTTTTTTTTTAAGAGAGAGAGAGAGAATTTTTTAATATTTATTTTTCAGTTTTTGGCAGACATAACAACATCTTTGTATGTGGTGCTGAGGATCGAACCCGGGCCGCACTCATGGCAGGCGAGCGCACTCCCGTTTGAGCCACATCCCCAGCCCCTGTATTTTCCATTCTTGAACCAGGTGACACACACACACACACACACACACATATTTTTAAAATAGTTATAGCCCACAAGTAATTGAGTAGCTCATTCAATTTTTTTGTATCATAAACTCTTAAGATGGATGATGGTCATCTATACCATGGTTTTCAAACCCTTTTATTTTAGCTATAAAATCTTTTTTCTTTTTCTTTCTTTTTTAAAATTTATTTCTTACATACATGACAATAGTGGAGTGCATTACATTCATAATTATCCATTCACAGCACAATTTTTGTAACTCTGTATATAAAGTATGTTCACACCAAATTATGCCATTATACATGAGCTCTCTTATTATTTTTTTGCATACAATTCTTAATACACTTTTATACCACCATTTATCATATCTCTGTTTGTATATAAGGTATGTTGACACCAAATTCACATTTTCATACATGTATATTATATAATGAATGGGGGTCTCTTTCCACCATCCATGCCATAAAATCTTTTCAGGCAAAATCTTACTCAAAAGCTTGTAATGTAAAGCAGATAGCAGAACTGCTGTCATTTTTAGGAATCTGTGCCTTAAAGAAGGGCTTTAATGTAAAGAGTGGTTCATTTTATTTCACTTAGGTGAGTCTTAGATTCTTAGGAATTAAGGTAGAGCTGAAAAGTAAGAGTTCTAAGGGATTTTTTGGCAGTTGAGAGTTACTAGGGAAACACATTCCTTTGTTTTTACATATTAAAGTTTTGGCATTGTTCCTGGTTAGTTTTCCTTTTATATCTTGATGTTGTATTCACTGTTTTTGCTTTAGGCCCAGCTGTCAACTCAAGAGAAGGAAATGGAAAAGCTTGTTCAGGGAGATCAAGATAAAGCAGAACAGTTGGAACATCTGAAAAAGGAAAATGACCAACTCTTTTTCAGTTTGACTGAACAGGTAGAATCATGGAAGAAAATAGCATTTTTAGGCATTTATAAGAAAATATTCATTGTTCTTTCTTTATCACATACATAAATATCTCTGATTATGAGAAATGTCTCAGAAGAAGCCATCTTATGCAAGCTTATCTCATGACTTTATAGACAACTAAGAGATAGCTTTCCCTCTGTATTCTGCTTGTTCATGAGTTTAGCAGGCACGTCCCCAGTATGTGGGGGTGTATGTGTGTGTATTTTTTTTCTTGTCAGTAATATCAAAATCTGTTTTTTTGTGCAGAGGGAGCAACAGAAGAAGCTCCAGCAGATAGTGGAGGATATGAAGCAGAAAGAAACTACTGCAGCGAAGAAACAACAGGAGTTAATGGCATGTCTGTCTTTGCATGACTATGTGGGAGGGAGTCTGAAGAAAGAAGAATGAGGGTCTATTTTCAGATATTGAAGAGGATAAATAAGACAGATTAGAATGGCATTCACTTTTGGTTACTTGCTACCAAAAGGATAGAGAATCTGACATTTACAAAATGTTTAGGAGAGGTGGGCATGTATAACATGTGATGAATGATAAAGGATATTGAGAATTAGACATCCTGACAAGTTACTACTATAGATAGATCCTGGGGCTAGGAATCATACAAAATAACTCCTATTTCCTCCTGTAGGGTTATTGTGGGGCAGACAAATTAATGGTTATAAATAGCTCTATAACAGGTAACTCCAACAATTAAAAGTGAATTTTGTTATAATTAATATATAGCAGTTATTATAAGTCATTCTGGGTTATAGCAATATAATAGTGAAAATCTGACTGATTAATAATTTCTTATAACTAACTAATAATTTCCTGTAATATATTGTTGGAAAAGAAGCCTCATGATGCCGACAGGTACCTGGAAGCTGTATTTTATGAATTGCTATAAGGTAGTGAGAAGTCGTACTTGAGGGACAACTATTGCAATGTAACCCACATCATATATACATCATTTATAAGTCAAGTATATTCAGTCAGTTTTTGAGTACCTACCATACATAAGATACAGTAGGCTGAGGAGGGAGGATCACTTGAGCCCAGAAGTTCAAGACCAGCCTGAGCAACAAAGCAAGATCCTATCTTAAAAAACAGATAAAGTAAAAAGGAAGGAAAATGCTTTATGTGGCTTAGGTGGTACCTTTTTAGAAATTGAATTAGTTACCAGAATTTGAAGATAATCTGAGAATTTTTCTCATAAAAAAATTACATTTTACCAGGTGAATGTCTATAATTCCAGCAACTTGGAAGGCTGAGGCAGGAGGATTGCAAGTCAAAGCTAGCCTCAGCAATTTAGTAAGGCCCTAAACAACTTTAAAAAAATTTTTTTTTTAAATAAAAAGGACTGGCAAGGGGCTGGGGTTGTGGCTCAGAGGTAGAGTGCTTGCCTGGCATGCGAGAGACACTGGGTTTGATCCTTAGCACCACATAAAATAAAGTAAAGGTATTGTGTCCACCTATAACTAAAAAATAAATATATTTTTAAAAAAGGGCTGGGGATATGGCTCAGTGGTTAAACTCCTGAGTTCAATCCCCAGTACCCCCTCGCAAAAAAAAAAAAAAATTGTTTCTAGCTTCTTTTGAAAAATTTAGAGTATCAAAACTGAGTCCATGTTCCTTTACAGCAGTGCTGTAACATCTGGTGCTGAGGAGCTACACTCACTTTAGATAGGTTGTGTGTACTCCATTTGACTATAGTCTTCACTGGGTTTTGTTGTTGTTGTTGTTGTTGTTTTTTACAGTACTGGAAATTGAACCCATGGCCTGGCACATGCTAAGCAAGTGTTCCACCACTGGGCTACATCCTCAGCCCTTTTTAAATTTTGAGACAGGGACTCAGTAAGTTGGAGTGGCTGGCCTCAAACTTGTGATTGTCCTGCTTCATCCATCCTAGTAGCTGGAATAACACACCCAGCTTCACTATTTTTTTATTTGTTTGCTTGTTTGGTGCTGGATATTGAACCCAGTATCTTGTGTATGCTAAACATGTGTTCTACCACTGAGATACACCCCAGCTCAGTCTTCACTGATAGGTTGCATTCAGTTATTTAATTCATTTCCCCACTTGCCTGGTCCCTTAAGCACATTTGAGTTAGTGATGTCTGATTTGGCAAAGAAGTTATTATTATTTTTTTTGATGTTGTTAGCACTTATTAATTGTACAAATTAATGAGTATCACTGTGTTGTTTCTACACATGCATATATTATGTTTATCTTACCTTCTACCCTCTGATTCTCCCTCTCTCTTACTTCCTCCAGACCCCCTTCCCCAGTTCCTAATAGTCTCTAAAGAAATTAGTTTTAATCAATAGTCGTTCAAAAGTTGGAAGCTCCCTATGACAGGTCTGGGTTTCTTTGTGGTGTTTGTTTGTTTGTTTAATATTTTTTGGTTGTCACTGGACCTTTATTTTATTTATTTATATGCAGTGCTGAGAATCGAACCCAGTGCCTCACACATGCTAAGCAAGCGCTGTACCCCAAGCCACAACCCCAAACCCCTTCCTTGATTTTTATGGAATATTTTTCAAGACCCAAGTATTCTCCACCTGTTCATTTGCAATTCTTTATTTCTCATGCATCCAGAAAGGCCTCTAACTGTGAGGACTATGTATCTTATACTTCAGGAGCCTAGGAACAAGAAAACAACAGTGGAGGAGCAGTTAGTACAAGAGGTGGAACGCCTAAAGGCAAAGGTAGAGGCCGGGAAAGCCTGTTTCTTAGAGAAGTACAAAGAGTGCCAACGACTCCACAAACAGATCAGGCAACTCAGGGCTGCTGCACTGGTAGGTGACAGAGATAAGGGGCCCAGGAAAGCAAGGGGTCTGAAGGTTTGTGATTCTTAGACCAAGTCCCCAAAATGTACACCCTTGATAAGGAGAAAATTTTCCTACTAGAAAGGGAGGGATGGAGTGTGAGACCAGAAGCCAGTCTGGGGTATCCCTGGAAATATAGGCCTTAGCTTAGCCATGGGTTTCAGGGAAATTTTTTAACCATTGAGCCGGTTTTGTGCAGACTCAGTCCTTTCTTATTTCTGCCTTTTGAGGAAGTGAAGCAGGACCAGAAGAGCCAGCAGGAGCCAGTGGGGATGGGGAGCAAGGAGCCTGCAGTCAGCACTGTCATCGGGTAGCCCCCTCTCGCATTACTACCTCAGGGTCGGCTAGAAGCGCACAGCAGTTTGGGCACCAGCATTCAAATAAAAAATCTTGGAACAAAAACCACAACTAGTAGGATTAGCTTAAGTGTGTTTGTGAGGTACGCGCATGTGTGTATATACAAGTAGGAGATGGAAAATACTGAAGTATGAACCTAGTTAGGTCAACCAATCATTCTGGGAAGCTCAAGACCCCAGTCTGGGTTCCTTGCAACCTGGGACAAGTGCCTTCCAGTATTCCTCCTTCTCAGTGGAACTTGAGCCCAGATACCTTTCCTCACCCTGGGAGGGGAATCACACCAACCTAAACCTGAGTGCTACAGGTTTCATGGAGTGAGATACTTATTCAAAATAAACAGGATTGTTTCATGGTTGGGTGGGATTAAACAAGCTCCATTTTAACCCTAATTCTGATATATCAATCTTAAGGTTTTTCCCCAAGCTTACTTTTTCTCTTTAGTTGCTTACTTACAGCTATACCAAATAAACCCTGGCAATCCTAATGCCAGTTTAGGCCTTCCAGCATTTGGTTAAGTGACTTCTGTAAGTCAATACCCTGTCCATAGTACCACACCTTTCTCTGCAGTCCCTTCTTCTCCACCTCAGTCCCATGCCCTTTGGAAGGTCAGATCCTCTACAGTCTCCCACCAGGGACCCAAGTTGCAATATGTGATCCTAACTCTAATTTTTAAATTATTGGCAGGATGAGAATTTTGACCTGTCAAGAAGACTGAGTGAGAACAAGATTATATGTGATGTTCTGCAGAGAGAGAAAGAGAGAATGGAAAGAGAAAATGATGTAAGTATTTGGAAAAAGGTAGGAAAATCCAGAGTTTTAAGGGGAAAGAGAACAGTGGCTGAAAGATGCAGAAAGTTGAATAAACAGTGGGTGAAACTGTCCCAGATCTAGTTTTCTTATCTACCAGAAAACATCTCTTTGTTCTAAAGGTGAAATTTTTTTGGCATGGCAATAGTCATCTTGAAAGAAGCAGCCATGTTGAAGACCTAACTTACTGCTTTTAACTTCATCATTGTTATAAGTATTGTCTTTGGTGGGGAGGGTGTGATATCCTACATCAAATTTATATTAGTGAGGGGACCCTTTTCCTTAAGCATGACTTTTTCCTTTTTCTCTGTTACCAAACCAGGAGAAGTGGTTGTCTGTGCCAGTGCAGGACCCATGGTAGGCCCCTACAGATGCTGTGCATTTATTTACTTATCAGTTCATAAACTGATCCAACCAATATTGATTATCTTCTGTGTGTTAAACACTGTTGTTAATATTATTGATTGATTTGATTCACTGATTGCAGTGACAGCAAATACAGTGATGATACTTGAAATCATTCCCATGCCCAGTATCAAAGACCTGTGTATTCTCAATGTTATTATTAGATCCACAGTTCCAGCAGTCCTATATCTTTTTTGAGGGGAGGAGATTGAAGCAAGAAGCCCTGTGCCACTGAGCCACACCCCCAGGTTTATTTTGAGATAGGGTCTTACTAGATTGCTGAGGCTAACCTTGAACTTCCTATCCTCTGAGTCCCTGGGAATACAGGCATGTGCCCCAAGTCTACCTCCTACATCTCTGTACTTTTGTAACCCTTTCGAGCTATGCCTCAAAGTGACTACTTTTACTTTTTTTTCTTTTCTTTTTAAAATTGTGGCTAAAAAACTATATAACATAAAATGTACTGTTGTAATAATTTCAGTGTGCTATTTTAAGTATGTTCATACTGTATCACAGATCTCTAGAACTTTTCATCTTGTAACACTGAAACTCCATAAACACTAATTCCTCCTTCATAATTTCAAGTTTTGATTATATTACTTATGCCAATGTGTTTAATGATAGTAGATGAGCTTTGGGGTCTATTTCTGGTCTTGTCATTTTCATTCTCTTGATTTAGATAATTATTCTTTGAATTTGAAATCCTGTTTTTGTGGTTTGTTTGATGGTTAGGGGTCAGATTATATACTGACCAATCCAGAAGAAGAGGAAGATCTGGTATTTGGAAGCTTTGTACAGAACCGTAGTAAAACCCTCTTAAGATTTTAAGGGAGGGGAGGGGGGATAGTAGAGGATAGGAAAGGCAGCAGAATACAACAGACACTAGTATGGCAATATGTAAATCAATGGATGTGTAACTGATGTGATTCTGCAATCTGTACACGGGGTAAAAATGGGAGTTCATAACCCACTTGAATCAAAGTGTGAAATATGATATATCAAGAACTATGTAATGTTTTGAACAACCAACAATAAAAAAATTTTTAAAAAAAGATTTTAAGGGAAATTTATTAATTTTCTTTTTTCTAAAAACTACATGCTGTCTGTGTGTGCCACTTGTATCTTGTTCTCTCCTGTCTCATTCTTGGCCTTTCTCATTACCTTTCTCCCACCTTCCCTTCTTTCCTTTCATTCTCTCTGGTGGTCCATCCATATGATGGGATAAAATATGAAAAAGGGAAAATTATATCAGATGAATTTTACATTTTGTAAATAAATTGTTCTAAAAAGGAAATTGAAAGAAACATTCTGCTCCCAATAAAATATAACAGTTTCAATCTTAATATATAGCTCTTGCTACTCTCATATGTCCAAAGACTTTTTTTGCACCTTCTCTTTTAGTTTTGGGATACATTAGAGATTTAAAATTCTTTTGGTATTAATATAAATGAAATTTAGTAAATATATTTAAATTCATATATAAAGAGTTTAGATCTTTGGACTGTTGAGGCTATTTGTTCCCTTTCTGAAAAATTTTGGATTATTAGTTATTTGGCTTCATAATTCCACATTATTAATTGAGAACTACTTTAATGGATGTATCCTAGCTGGTTCCTGCTAACCATTCTTTGTTGTTGTCTTTCAATATGTTTTAAATCCTCTATCATTAGCTCTTAAAGAAAGAGAACAGCAGATTGCTGAGTTACATGGGTCTGGATTTTGACTCTTTGCCATGTCAAGTGCCTACTTCAGATCAAGGAGGTGCTGGACAAAATCCAGGTCTTGTCTATGGAAACCCATATTCTGGTAAGACAGTTTTGCCATTCTAACTGGAAAATCCTTGCCTGCATCCCCATCACTAATTTTTTTTTTTTTTTTTCCGCCTGAGATGCTAATTAAGACCAATCTCATTGTTAAGACTTGCTGGGCAGAAACTGAGGACCCAATAGAAAGATTGCCAGAAAAGAAGTGTTAATTGAGAAATAAATCTGAATTGAGAAGACGCAAATCAGATCATTCGCCTAGAGGCAGCAGACACAAATTGAGTCCCGCGGCTATATTCCAAATGTATAAATCAGAGAAATGTCTTTGTGTAGAAGATATACACGTACAAAGTAGAGGATGCTAATTAAGGTTTGGAAAAGCAGGTTATGCTGCCCAGAAACTGGCAGTTATGACAGCTCATTGATGTTCCAACCAAGGGAAGCAGGAGTATGCTCCACTGAGACTCCTGAATAGTAGGACAGGAAATAGGGGTGAAAACCAGTAGTTATTCAAGAACTTAGGGTAATATACTGCTGCCAAACAGGGAGCTTTTCTCCTTTGTTTCCAAAAGCAATGCAAGACTTTGTTGTACAGTTTAAAGCAGTAATGTTATCTTAAGAGTCACAACCAAATCTTTGCAATAGACAGAGAACAGGTTTATTTTTTGTTTAAAGATATTTTTAAGCATCTTTGCATTATCTCTCCTTCCCCCAATATGGCAACCTCAGCAAAAAAGAATAAAAAAGAAATGAAAGACTATTTCCCTAATAGACTTTCTGGCTGGGGATGAGGGGACTAGTAAAGGAAGCACCTGTATCTCCAAACCAGTCAGCTGGGCTAATGAGACAGATGGCTTGGCAAGAGATGTTTCCACTGGTTGGCATAGTAATGATGATGATGTGTATAAGGCCCCTTAAGTTGAGTGCTCTATCCTTCCCAATGTTCCATTGGCTGCTTGGGAATCCAATATCTACTAGAGCTGTCTTCCTAAATCAGCACCTAACACTATGATGTGATAGAAGATTCCATCAAGGAATCTTTTTGTTTTTTCAGTGCTGGGGATTGAACCCTCAAGGGTTGTATACCACTGAGCTATATCCCCAACCCTTTTTATTTTTAATTCTGAGACAGGGTTTCATTAAGTTGCAGAGACTGGCCTGGAACATGAGTTCCTCCCACCTTAGCCTGCTGAGTTGCTCGGATTATAGGTGTGCACTACTATGTCCAGCCCCTTAAAGGAATCTTTAGAGGATTAAATATCCATGCAGTTTGTTTACTCCGTGAACCCAGCAATCCAGAGAGGTTAAAGGTTTTGGTTATGTTGGATTTGAGGCCCTGGATTCTCTGCTCAGTGCCTTGAATCTCAATGAAAAGTCTCTAGGTAAAGCAGGAGAATTCAAGTGGGGTGTTGCTGTCAAGCACAGAATAAAGATAGGGCATCATTCTATTGGCTGAGGTAGAAATCAGGATTCTGACAAAACAGAGATTGATGGTTCCATCTTGCCACAAGAAGTTTTTAATGAATACTTGCCTACAAGAGGTGATAATAGCCTATGAAATTAGTTTCTTGTGTGCTCTATAGATGATCACATTAGCAAATAAAGAAGGGTGAATCCCTAATACCAAAAAAAAAAAGAGATGTCATTTTTCTCACTCTGAAAATAGGTTTATTGTTTTTTCTGATTATATAACATAAGTTATATAACATAGTTATGAACATATTATTAAAAACAGTTATTGAAAATGCCATTATTTTATTATTTTTTCCTCATATAAATCCCCTCTTTCAGAAGTAAATGGTATATATGAGAAAGAAAGAATCAGAGGCAGTGAGGAGAAAAGAAACAGGGTTTTTACAGAAAATGACTAGTAGGACACAGCTGAGAATCAAGGGATGATTTTTATTTTATTGAAGGAAATTTTTTTATTCTCCTCAGGTATTCAAGAAAGTTCTGCCCCTAGCCTGGTAAGTATTTGAGATGTCCATGTCCATACATGAAATGTCCATATCAAATCCTTAAGAAAATGTCCCTTCCTGGGCTGGGGATGTGGCTCAAGCGGTGGCACGCTCGCCTGGCATGCGTGCAGCCCGTGTTCGATTCTCAGGCACCACATACAAACAAAAGATGTTGTGTCCGCCGAAAACTAAAAAAAGCTAAATATTTTTAAAAAACTTCTCTCTCTCTCTCTCTCTCTCTCTCTCAAAAAAAAAAAAAAAAAAAAGAAGGAAAAGAAAATGTCCCTTCCTGCTCCAATTCATGGAAGAACCATTGGGAGAGTGGGTGGTTCATTTTGATAATTCCAGAGGTCAAACTCCAAAGGTCAGTAGGATCAGTATGTTCTAAGGCAGCCTGTGGAGGCAGGGAAAAGAAAGCACATTTCATCCATCAGTATTCTGTTCATGATCTCTTCCTGTGAGTTAAGTTTGATAGTGTGACTAGGAAGATGTAAACTAAGCAGCTAGCCAAATAAGGCACATATAGTGCACCTTCTTGTCTGGAGCTATGTTGATTGCTTTAGCAGTATTAGGTCCTTCCTTCCTTCCTCCCTCCCTCTTTCTTTCTGTTGTAGATGAACACAATACCTTTATTTTACTTTATCTTTTTATGTGGTGCTAAAGATTGAACCCCCAGAGCCTCACACATGCTAGGCAAGCGCTCTACCACTGAGCCCCAGCCCCAGCTCTGTATTAGGTCTTTTAAATTCTAGGATTAGAGAAAGCCCCAGGGAGTAACTCCAAATTTGAATCTGTTCACGCATTCACTATTTCTTGAACCCCTATCTTTACTAATCATTATGCAAGGCACTGAGGATACATGGAAAACAAGATGGAACTGTCTCTGCCACACAGAACCCAACATTTTTGCTAACCTCTTTGTACTTCCTCCCAGCTCTCCATCAAGAAATGCTTCACCTGCAAATCAAACTTTGCTGATGAAATCTGTGATCACACCTTGGAGCAGCAGCAAATGCAGACCCTTTGTTTGAATTGTCCAATTTGTGACAAAACCTTCCCAGCAAGAGAGAAGCAGATCTTTGAAGACCATGTGTTCTGCCACTCTCTTTAAGCATCCAAGCCTTTTGGATCTATGCTGTACATAGTTTAGTAGAACATACAGCTTCTACTATGAGTTAAATGAGTCAAGATCCTTCCTAACCTGAAATCATTAGGGATTTACTTAGCTCTGCTGCCTGTAAAGGTGGAGCCATGTCCATTATCTACAAGATGATGTTAAGAGCTTCTGCCTCCATTCTTGTGAGTGACTACCTAAGTCACATAGCTCTAGCTGTATCAGCCTCTCACTTATGTGCCCATTCTTCCTTGGGACCTCAGTACAAGGGCGCCAGGATAGAGTTGATCTGCCAGAGTTGTTACTAAGTGATTGTCTTCCAAGTTTTCCCATTGCTATTCAAGGTTAGGCCTCAAGTATATTTGTACTCAGTCTTTAGTTCTAACTCTGAGGGCCTCCTCCTCAGGCCTCTTTCTCCAACTGATTGCATTAAACTAACCCAAAATTCAGATGTCCAATTGAATGCTAGAGGTTTTTTAACTCCCAAAAGAAACATTTTGTTCCTGAAACATGGACAGGAAATACTACTTCAGTCTCAGAAAGACTTCTATCTATATAACTGATTCACATTCCTGCTCTTTAATCTTCCTGTGCACATAACTTTTATTGTTGCCCTTTTTTCTCTTTCTTTTAGGTACTGGAATTGAATGCAGGGGTGCTCTACCACTGAGCTAAGCCCCCAGCCCTTTTTATTTTGAAACAGTTTCTTGCTGAGTTGCCCAGGCTGGCCTTGAACTTGAATTCTTCTGCCTCGTTCTCCTGAGTCACTGGGATTACAGGCATGCGCCACCATACCTGCTTTATTATTGTCTTTCTTTAGTTAGGAGTTGTTAGAAACTGTAGGTTTACAACTTTCTGAACAGTTGAGTTTGGAATATGAATGTCAAAATAATGAGACTACTATTGTTAATCTCCTCAATACTAAGGGATTTAGGTAATTTAAAATAAACCTTTAGTTTACAGTCTTATTTTTAAGTTTTTGAGTTAAACAAAAGGATAATGGAAAACCCCACAAATGATTTCTCTTCACCTGTTTTAACTGTTCAGTGAGAGTGTCCTGGCAGCTATGTTGCGGTGGGGAGGGATGTGATAAGCATCAGTTTGAGAAATCCGGGGCTCTGCCTTTTTGCTGTAATTTTCCATGTGTTTTTGAAAAGCATTGTGGATTTTGGCACCCTTTGTGGACTAAGCTCAATGCCCTCCATCCAGATTTGCCTAATTGAACTATAAGAAAGCAATTCCATTTTCTCTCCCCTCGGGAACTGAACAAATGGAAATGACTCCCAGGCAGTCAACCAGCTGGTCACCATAGAGACTTTTACAAAAACTTTTGAATGATGTGAAACATGATGTAATGCATAAGGTTGAGCCAACTCTACCTCTGCATTCCTACTGGGGTTTTCCTGATATGATTGGAGTTGTGCCCTAGACAAACTATTGTCCTAATCACAGCTACTTGCTTTTATTTCTCCTTGATAAAATGAAAGTGAAGCTATGCCACTTCCCTTGTATCATCATTTCAGCAAGAAGTCTATTGCACTCATAAGCCTTTTGTCTCCTTAAGAATCAGATGTGATGTGAACCCAGCCCCAGCTCCACAATAAAAATATAATGGGGAGATGGAAATTAAGGAGTTTTACTGGAGCATACCCTTCCTCCCTGCAAAATTTCTGATGCTCCCCAGATAGTTCCTGTGAAGAATTGCAGTTTCATTTATTTTGTACTAGTCAGCTCTTAATTAAGCACATGAATGGAGAGGAGCAGTGGTGCACATAATCCAAATCAGTGAATTATCATTTTCTGGTGAATTACCCACCCTTTGCCCCTGCTACCCCGAGGGTTACCATGATTATCAATAGCAGCAGGAGCCCTTCCACAGGCTTGGTGAAAAAAAAAAAAAACGGTTGAGGTGATAATGATCCTTTTTGCTGGGTGTAAAACAAAGCATCTTTAACCACTGCTCATTATCCCCAGCTGCTCTTACCAAGGCTGTGAAGGGAAATTATGCTTCAGGCAACTACTAGTGGTAAAGGAAACAATCATTCTTACATAATCCACTGCCCATCCCAGCCTTCCTGCTTTCCTCTGCTGTCCTCCCTCCCCCCCACGTTTTATAGTTGTGGAATACCTGCAAAAACAGCAAGAGGGTATGAGAGCAAATAGTATTTATACCTAAACTTGATTTAAAAAAAAAATCTTTCTAGTTATTATGGCAACAGGTTTTCCTTCCAAATTCATTGTTCCCCAGTCTATTATAATATTTTTGCATTCCCTCATCATACTTACTTGATGAACAGTGGAAAGTCACCTTGACACATGTGAGTGTGAAAGAGTGGTAAAAGAAAGCTAGCCTACATCAGAAAGAGTTGGCAACATATTTAGTAAACCTAGGCCTAAAGAACACCTACAGCTTTTAACCCCTTTTCTCTGGTCTTGCTAAAAACTGGGATGAAATGTGACTGCCACAATGTCACATTTCAAATATGATTTGATTTTCTGCCATGGCAGTGAGTTACACTAAGCTAAGCATTATCTAACCTGGTCTCCTAGCAACAAGTATAGATGAAATAGGTCAGGGTAAAGAGGTGCAGCTCATTTCCTAGGAAAATAGCAAAGTGGACCCTATTGGAGATGAAACCCAAAGAGATACTCACCTAGTTGCCCTAAGTAAACCAATAATATCCCATAAACTCAGGAAAGTTATACTGACCCCCATGCCCTCCTCAGCTGATTTTATAACTATTCACGTCTTTACATTCATATAATTTATAGTTGACAATGTATTTCATATATTCCCTGTGTACCTCTCATAATCTTCCTAGCCGTGCAGCTATTATTTTTCATTTTTATTGATTAATAAATTGAAATATGGAGAAATAATTTGCCAGAATTGGAAACAAGCCAGGCGTGGTGGTGCATACCTACAGTCCCAATGACAGCGTAGGCTGAGGCAAGAGGATAACAAGTTGAAGGTGAACCTAGCAAGGCCCTCAGCAGTTTGGTAAGACCCTATCTCAGAAAGGCCTGGGGATGTACTTCAGTGGTGGAACACCCCTAGGTTTAGTTCCCAGTATCAAAAGACAAACTCAAATATCCATTGGCTGATAAAATGATGAATAGAATATGGTGTATTTAAACAATGGAATATTCTTTAGCAATAAAAAGAAATGAAATACAGATATACACTACAACATGAATGAACCTTGAAAACAAGCTAAGCAAAAAATGCCAGTCATGTAAGATTTCATATTGTATAATTTATATGAAATGTCCAGAATAGGCAAATCTATAGAAACAAAATAGATTAATGGTATCTTGGGGCTAGGGGGAAATGGGGAGTGATTACTACTAATGGGTATGGAGTTTTCTTTGGGAATAAAGAAAATGTAAAATTGACAACTCTGAGTATACCAAAAAACATTGAATTGTGCATTTTAAATAGATGTATTTTATGTTATGTGGATTATATCTCAAGTTGGTGTGTGTGTGTGTGTGTGTGTGTGTAGTGGTGGGGGTCAAACCCAGAGCCTCATGCATGCCAGGCAAGTACTCCTCTGGCAACATCTCCAGCCCATCAAGTTGTTATATTTCTAAATTTTAAAAAATAACTTACTGGGCTGGGGATATGGCTCTGTGGTAGAGTGTCTGCCTGGCATGCATGAAGCCCTGGGTTCGATCCCTAGCACTGCAAATACAGATACACAACAATGCTTCCTGCTTAAGTGGCTGGGGCTGGGCTCAGTGGTAGCGCATTTGCCTGGCGTGTGTGAGGCACTGGGTTCAATTCTTGGCACCATGTATAAATAAGGTCTATCAACAACTAAAAAATTTTTTAAAAATAAATAATAACTTACTAAGAGCTGGCATGCGCCTGTAATCCCAGCAGCTCAGAAACCTGAGGCAAGAGGATTGTGAGTTCAAAGCCAGCCTCATCAAAATCTAGGCACTAAACAATTCAGTGAGACCCTATCTCTAAATAAAATACAAAATAGGGCTGGGGAATGTGACTCAGTGGTTGAGTGCTCTGAGTTCAATCCCTGGTACCCACCTGAAAAAAAAAAAAAAAAACCTAAGGTTATACATGCACAGCAACATGTTGAACTTGGGCTTATTACTCTTAGTTCAGGATAACCACTGCCACAACCATCTTGGGTTCTCCCCTATTTTGGGCTGGCAGCAGGCTTCAGTTTCAGTTGCAGAGGAATCAAGATTAACAGGACCAGGGCAATCAGTGATAGCCTACCATTTGGCCAGCAGCATTAGTGGTTTCTGTTTAGGAATATCTATTCTGTGGAGATGGATGTACCCAATAAAGTTAGGGGAAGGAATCATCAGCCCACAAATCCCAGGTAATCACATTAAGAGATCCAGCCTGCTCTGCCTAATGTTATTACTTTCTCCCTGTGGAAAGAAAGAATATGACAATACATGGGGCTAAGTTTATTGTTTACTCAGTCAATCAACATTTATTGAGCACCCACAGTGTGCAGAGCTAGTATCAGACCAGGATTTAAAAAAAAACAAAAAGTTCTTCCCTTGAGAGATCTATAAGATCAATGAAGACTTTCTCTCTGCCCTTAGGGAACTCTGAAACTGCTGAGGGAATCTGAGGTTTCAGGGGTCTCCTAATCTAATGGGAAAAGGAGATAACCACCATTGAAGTAATTTAAGAATCTAAAAATAAGGGAAGTCATTCTCCAACTGAGGACACAAGGGCTGTGGGACCTCAATTTTATATAGGTTTACCCTAAGTTAATAATACCTTCTTACAGAAGTATGCTTTGGAAGAAGTGCAGGGACAGAGGTGGCAGACAGGGTAAGAATACTCTGATGGTCTCTGCAAAGGGAGAGGGAAAAAAGGAAGCAGACCCAGAATACAAAGGACTTTTAAGGGCTAGAATATTTTAAATACTCCATTTCTGTCCTAAATGAGACTCTTTGTCTAAGTGAGTCATATCTAAGAAGCTCAGGTGAACAAGGGACAGATTGGGGGAGGATGGTGGTGGTGATATAAAGGAGTGTACAGAATCCCAGCTTGCAAGATTCCCAGCTTTAGAGGGCTGGAGCACTAGGTAACACACCCTTTCATCTCTCATCCTGCCTCTCGGCCTTTTGATTCCTTTTGTTTTACAGTAGGCCAACTTTCTCTTTCTCCTGGACCACATAAAGTAAATGATTGCTGCCAGTTTCTGGATTTTTAAGTTAACCCTATCTGTTGTCCAAAGTGCCAGATTTTGAAAGAATGATAATCTCTCAATCCAATTCCAGATTCCCTGAGGAAGGGACTCATTGGCCCAACTAGAGTGGACCAATGCTCAGTGATTCAGTCAGCTGTGGCCAGGAGGTATACACTGGCCCCCTCTTAGGTCAAGAAAATTGAAGAGAACAGTGTAAAAAGGTACAGGATGGAATACTACTCAGCAATAAAAAGAAACTATTGAGCCAGGCATGGTGGTGC